TTCTCAGGAAAATGACAAGGAAGCAAAGCACTGAAATCTGCTTCTGACTTGGCGTGTCTGCCAGATCCTAGTTTACAAGGCTGGCTTTCTGCCTAATCCCTAGCATTTTCATCAGATTTGAAGAATGAATAAAGTGAACCTTTGGGCATTAGAGAATATTTCTAGAGCACCGAGACCTCTTCTATAAATAGCATAACATCACCCTTCTATTTTAAACAATGTTCAAAATCCGAGGCCACAGGTTTTTATAATTAAATATATATAAACCAGATCATTCTATGCCTGAAAGTACTAGGGTTTTATCTGTCTGTGTACAGGAAATTCTTATGTTAAAAGCTTAGTTAACAACATGACATTACAAATAATGTGCCTATTTTTAGTGGTTTTATTAAATAATAACGTTAAATTTAAAAAGCCAAGCATTCACCTTGAGCTACATCTGAGCCTGAGAATTCAAAAAGTGACATTTCTATAGAAAGCCAACATAGCCTTAAATTGACAAAACTGCCTTGCTTTTAAATTGTTTTGTTAAGAAGTACCTGATATGCAAATTTCCAATGACGTTTTTTCCTGGAGAATCATAGATACTTTCTGAACCACTCCTAGACAACGGAGAATGAATATTGATGACAGGGGAGAGCTGACTCCTTCAGGCAAAAGCGTATGAGATAAATTCTGTTAGGCCTTTGAGAATCTGTTTCATCATCTATACATTGAACACATAGCAAAAGTTTTATTTCTCTTGATTTCTGGACTTTTAGACCTGTATGCATTGAAGCCTATTACAACTTACAGCCTGAACAGAAAAGATTTGTTCAGTTCTCAGGCTGTAAGAATGATAGAGGAATTCCTTTGTGTTCCCTTCCTTTCTGCACATTTTATTCCTTTCTCATATCTTTCCTTCCTACTCTGCCCTTCCTCCTTATTTTCTTCATTCTTTTACCTTTCCTTTCTTTCTTCATATCTTAATGTAATATTTTCCCATAGAATCACTAAATGAAGATTTGGTACTGTTGACCCATAGTAATCTTCACTAGCTGGATTTATTTTATGTCAACAACCAAGAAATGTAATTTTTAGTTTATATACATTTTAGGTTATCTTCACAAAATATACATATAGATAAGCAAAGGAGCAGCCTTTTAATTTATGTAATTGGCATACTTAAGTGGAATGTGTCATGATTTGAATGTTTTTAAATTTTTGCATGTAAAGGCTGGCTTGCCGATAATTTCTAAACCATAACTGTTTGCAGAGAGACAGAATAATCATGTTTTAGAGTCCAAAAAAGTGGCACATACTATTTGGCATGTTTTTCTTTATTTCCTATTTTGCCATTGCAATGGTAATAAGTTATTGTTTTCATGACAGGTGTGCAGCACTGTATTTTTGTTTATTTAATTTATTTATTTTATTGACTTATTTGTTCTTGATAATAAAGAGGTTTTCTGTCTTACAGATGAAATAAAGGAGACTCAATGTTGTTACTTGCCTGCAATTACACATTTAGAAAACCTCTTGTATTTTTTGTCTATTGGAACTTACCATCTCAGCACTTAATAAAGAGGGGAAAAGTATGCTTTGTATTTCTCCTAATATGTCAGAACTAACTTGTCTTTGCTTATCTAACATCATTATTGAGTATAGGATACACAGCCTTTATTTATCTCATTGAAAAATTAAGAAAGATTTGATATACTTTCATTTCTTCTATGACTCTAATTGCAAAATAAATTGAGTTTGTGTTTTAAAATTATTCAAGGGGCATTTTTGTCATCTACCAAGAAAAGACACTAAGCCTAAGTCACTAAGCTAAATTTGCCTTTAGTCACTGCTATATCACTGTGATGTCAGATATATCATCTTATTTGTTTTCTTATTTGTAAACTTTGTAGTTCCAAGCCACCACTTAGGGTGCAATGAAAAGTGATTGGAATAATAAGCACTATAGCTTTATCACTAGCTTTCTGGCCGTATCTCCCATTATTCTCCTCACTGATACTCATACACATCTTCTTGCTGTTCCTTCAAATAACATTAATGGAAGTTGTTGAATCTATTGATGCTTTTTATCTTTTATTCCAAGGTGGTATGGTTAAACATTCTGCTCTAAGTGAACATATCCATCCCACAATTATTATTCAATTCAAACATGAGATCTATCAGTTGGCAATTCTTTGTGTTAAGGACACATTTTGGAGCAATAGCTAATAGCCATACCATTGCAATATGAATGAATTTTGTGTGTTTGTAGCTAAACTGATTTAAGAAAACCGGAATTTTAGTTGGGAAGGGCCTATAGAAAGAATACAAAATTATATGAAACATAGGATAGGTATTAATGGAAATATTTGAATGAATACACGTAATGATATTGTTTCTTAAACTATGTCAGGCACTTTTCTATGTACCTTCAGTGCTTCACCCCATTTAATATTCTCAATAACTTCTTGGGATTTGTGCTAATTTGTTCATAATTTTGAAGTGAGAAAGTTGTGGAAAAATAATATTTGAGTAACTTTCCCAGGGTCACATTATGTAGTAAGATGTAGAATCAAACCTAAACTACCTATTTACAGGGACAATCACAAGTAGTCACACCATCAATAAATTCATAAATTGCAGAAGAAGAGGAACAGATAGTGGCAAAGAGGTAGAAGTAACCAAAAGAGATTAAAGAGTGAAAGGCAAATTGATCCACTTTATAGTTTAGGTCAATATGATCATGATGGCAATAAAATAAAAGTATGAAACTTAGAGAGCTGGGTTCAGATAGCCAACTCTGGAATGATGAACTTCAATAAGATATTTCACTGCTGAAGTTACCCCCCCCACCCTGCCAGGAATGAAAATGCAATAATGTTTGCAAATGTCTGGTACCCTGTTTCTGTATGGTGGATCTGACCACCTTTGCTCTCTCTCTTTGTCTTTTTGTTTTAAAATTTTCAGAAATTCTTTCACTTTTAAAAATGCCACCTGACTCAGAATCGCTTAAGCAAGAAGAAGAATTTTGGAGCTCATGTGACCATGAAGTTCAGGAATATTCTGGCTTCAGTCATAGGTGGAAATGGGGACTCAAGCCATGTGGTCAAAACCAAGCCTATTCTCCCTCCCACCACTGTACCACTAGTAGTCAATAATTTAACAACTGGTATAATTATACCAGTGTGAAAAGTCTATCCACCAGAGGCTATGGTCTGAGTTATTTAATTCTAGTTTTGTCCTTGCCTTACTCTCTATGGTGTCGTCTCTTTTTAATACATAAGGGTAGATCATCTTCATTCATCTCATTGAAAAGATAAGAGGGAAGTCCTTTACAGGACTTTAAGAAATTCAGCTTAGTAGAGCTAAGAACAGCAAATTGCAGAGACACTTGTGTATAAATGAGAATTTCAAACTTTTATTAGTTTCGTAAGGAAGGAAAGTTGTTTCAAGGAGTTTATAAAATTTTAACCTATGTATGCTACAGATTAAACATTATCAATTTGTACAAATATGTTATACATTTTTATATTTGCTATACCCCAATTGAAGAGGAAATATTTGGTAATAATGTATTGCTTCAGTAAGTATGATGATGTACCTATTATATGCCAGGCACCATTTGGATGCTGGGGATACAGAAGTAAAAATAACAGACAGGTTCTCTGCATGTAGGAGGTTATATTCTAAGGAAGAAGACAGACCATTAGAAACATAGTTTTGTTGGTAGTTATATAATAAATACTATAAAATCATAAAATAAGCTAATAAAACAGAGCAATAGTGGGAATGTGGTCAACCAAAAGTTGAACCTGAAAAGAAAAAGGAGCCAGCCCTGTAACTATCAATCAGGGGAAAGCACGAGGTCAAATGAAGCAACCAGTGCAGAAGCTCTACAGTGGGAATGAGTTTGGTCTACTTAGGTATAAAGATGCTGGTTTTATGTGTTTACCCTGCCTTAATATTTTAATTAAAAATAATCTGCAAACATGATTAAGAAATTTCAAAACAGTATAATCATGTATAATCTCACCATGCTCTAAATATAGGCTGTCTCATTTCTGTGTTATATGTTTTTGGTCTGTGTTCATATGCTTACATTTTTTATGGTGACAATCATGGAATATACACTATTTTTACTTTGACTTTTAAAGTGTATTCTCAGGTGTCTCATAGACATATATTTTTATCCTCCAGTTTTATCTTCAGAAGAGTTACTGCTCTTCTTTTGTTCTGTATATTTTTTAGACACTTTCTGTGTATGTTTTTTTTCTTAAATCTTAATAATTCTTTCCCTTTCCCCTCATTTCTAAAGAAATTAAATACATGGCTTAACTCCAGTTTTATGACGCCTAAAAATTTAAGTGAACACCTTAACTTTTTATCACAGTCATGACATTTTTCAATCTAATTTCCTTTTGAGTATATTTTTGATTACATCCTACAAAACTCTAATTTAGATTTTGAAACAAAAGTAAATAAACATTCAAAACATAATGAAACAAATCATTTTGTGTCGATTATCACTTAGACAACACAGATCTTATAGCATTAACCGGAAATTATTTTTCCTCTATCTAGTCTCATATCCTGGTTTCAAGAACTCAATAACTTAAGTCTAGCCAAGTTGCTATATGATAGCAAACCAGTTGCTTACAAAGGCATATTAACTTTTGTGAGACTGCAATACCACTCAATCTGCTACACAGTAATGAAGTAATAATTAAAGCATCAATCTTAAATGTCCCCCTTTTTTTTCTCCTAATGCTCTCTATAGGCATTATATTCTGATAATAACGTGTTTTGAAAATGGAGTTTTCTTTGCTAAACTACTCTGCTCTATAAGGCTCTTTTGTATTCTAAATATTTTATGTTATACTACATATATCATACACATGTATATATAGTATATTTTGATTTTTTAAATGCATCTGGTTCCTCTACTAAATGCCAGTTTTTCAGAATTTTGCAATGACAATTTTATCATCTCTGACTCTTCAGTGCCTGACCGATCTTAGGGAGTGAATATTTTATAAAATATTTATTGAAGGAGTATATTAGTCTGTTCTCAGTCTGCTAAAAAAGACATACCCAGCACTGAGAAACTTACAAAGGAGAGGTTTAATGGATTCACAGTTCCACATGGGTGCAGAGGCCTCACAATCATATCAAAGATGAAGGAAGGGCAGGCAAAGAGAAAGCATGTACAGGGGAGGTAAAGAGAGAGCATGCACAGGGGAACTCCCCTTTATAAAACCACCAGATCCTGCAAGACTTATTTATCACGAGAACAGCATGGGAAAAACCTTCCCCTATGATTCAATTCCCTCCCATGACACGTGGGAATTATGGGAACTACAATTCAAGATGAGATCTGGGTGGGGACACAGCCAAACCACATCAATGAGTAAATCCACTAAGCCTATATTTTCTAACTGACATCCAAATTTAGTACACATCTATATACAATATTAGCAAAAGTTCTATGAAATATTACTTGTTATGCACTTTCAATTATCCTTTTCTATTTTATTAAAAAATTACTGGTCATGATCAACTAAGTTTATATTACAGTCTAACAATACATAACAACCTGTAGTTTTATTTTTTTTTTCTTTTTTTTTTTGAGACAGAGTCTGGGTCTGTCATTCAGGTTGGATTGCAAGGGCATGATCCTCCCACCCTAGCCTCCTGAGTAATTGGGACTGCAGGTGCATACCACCACACCTGGCTAATTTTTGTATTTTATGTAGAGACAAGGTCTCACTATGTTGCCCAGGCTGGTCTTGAACTCCTGCCTGAAGAGATCTCCCTGATTTAGCCTTCCAAGGTGCTGGGATTACAGGATGAGCCACTACATCTGGCCCCCAAATTATAATCTTATTGCTATATTCACATATAGGTAATTTTGTGTGAATTTATAATGCATTATTTTAAAGTCCACAATCTAGCAATCTAGGACCAATGCTGTTATTGACCACTCTTAAGCAGATTCATGTCAGTTGGCTACCTTTTAAAGAGTTCAGCTAAAAGCTTAAGCTTTCTTTTGGTTGTCATGGGGTTGATACATTACACTTTTTTTATTTTTTCTTTCTTTCTTTCTTTCTTTTTTAGTTGTGGATAAACTTTCTTGTAGATCAGAAGAGAATACACAGAAGGAATAAGGGATTACTTCTCTTCCTTTAAAATAATGAGTGGAGAACTAGTCTATGGAAAAAAAATAGACAATGAAGATTGGGCATAGGTATTTAGAGTTTTGTGTTCAAATTAAGAAACAAACAAATAACATACAAACCCTCAATCCATCACCAACTTCTTAATGTGGGAATTTTACTAAATGATCTCATTGACACCTTTCAGTGCTAACATGTGAAGTTCTGTAATTGACCATGACATTTTGCTGCAAGAAAATTAGACAGGTAAGTAGCCCAGGACATAAAGCCTTTGGCTTCCCTTCGACCAGATTTGGAGTTTCAACAAAACAGGCATGATCTGTTTTCCTCATCCATATGGACCAGAGCCTCACAGATAATAATCAGTCATTATATTACATTTCTGCTTCAGATCCTTTGTTCTTCCCCTTTTCACTGGCTGGAATGCTCTTCCTCTGCAGTCTCCTTTGATTACTTCTTCAAACCATTTGTATGTTTACTCAATTTTTGTGTGGTCTTTCCTGCCCAATCTTATAGTACTTTTATATCTCTTCCCTTTTCCCCAACATTGTTCTTCTTAGCACTTATCACTATTTGAATACAGGTTTTAAATTTATTTATTTATTTATCACCTCCTTGTGATTATTAGAATATAAATTCCATGGTGACAGAGATTTTTGTATTTTTTATTTTCTGCTCTCCTAATACCTAAAACAACACACATGTGTTGTTCCATAAATATTTGTTGAGTCAATGAATCAATGAACTGTGAATTACCTCTCCATTAATTAGAAGAGCTCTATGCATCTTATCCAATGAAAAAAATACTAATTTACCAGTCTGAACAATTTGCATAGAAATGACAAGCTTATACCTTTAAAGTGCTTATAGGAAATATTTTATTTGTACACCAAGTTACAGTTTACAATAAGAAGGCCAAAATGACTTATTTGTCTATTAGGCCATACATGGAAGCTTAAACTTTCTAGTGAAAGAGTTATATTTATTATACAAATAATTTTCAACTTAGCTATTTTCTGTCATGATCCAGTCAACTCCATCCTACTGAATTTTTCCTCCTAACTATTGCTGATTTTGTCCTCTAATCTCACATTGATTATTGTAAGAAAAAGACAGAAACCCTTTTCTAACTGGTTTTTCTACCTTAGGGTCCTACTTTCTTCAGCCCATCTTCCTCACAGTCGCCTAAGTCACTGAACACAACTCTGATCAGATTATTCTTCTGATTGACATACTCATGCAGCTTCCTCAAAATTAAATAAACAAAAGGGAATGTCTCTCATTACCTATGTATGCATTATAATTACCTTTGCTGGCTCATCACAGTACTTGTCACCCCTAAATACTTCCCTACTGTCCCTCTCCATGAACAACTTCCATCATCTCTAACTACATCCATTTTATATTGCTCCCTTTATTTCTAATTTATTTTTTATGGCTGTTTCTCAAGGAAATTTTTCCCAACCCATCTCTGTAGTTCAAAGCTTACGTAATACTCTCAGCATATTTCCAGCATTACATTTGTCATGTTGTTTTAGGATTATTGTTCATATAACCACCCCCCCCCGTTGGTTTTGAACTCACTAGGTTTAAAGATTATGTCTTATTCTTTATATTCCCATTTACTGGAGAAATATCTGACACATAATAGACATTATCAAACCTTGTTGAATAAAAAGAAAATGAGTATATTTAGCCTAGATGGGGAATACTTCTAAAACATGCACAAAATCAGGCATTTTCTAACTGTGTTTGTAATGATAAACTTGATTATATCACTAGCCATTTATGCTTTGGAGAGAGGAAGCTTCATGCAGTCTAGGGAAACCAAGTAACCTTCACTTGGTAATTTGTCTTTCAAAAGAAGAAAAGAGGAGAGGAGATGAGGAGAGGACAGAGGAAGGAAAAGATAGGATAAAGAGGAGATAAAAGAAGAAGAATGTCAGCTGTCTTTGAGAAGCTTATTCTAGGGCTCATCTTTAACAGCAGAAATGTTAAGATGATTTTTTTTCTTGCTAAACTTGACTTATCCCTCAGGCATCAACTTAAATCAGAGAGGCTATTTCTAACCTCTCAATGACAATTTTGTTTCCCATTATATTTTCCATAGCACCCTGTATTTTTTAATAGCACTTGCACAATTTGGAATTATATACTTATTTGTTAGACTTTATTAAATGCCATGAGAAGCCAATAAGAACATCAATTGCAAGAGGTCAGGGGCCATGTATGCTCTATGGAAGCAGCCACAATGCAGTCAAACACACAACACCTGACACATCATAGATGCTCCAGAAACGTTTGCTGAATAAATGGGAAGATGATAAAGATGCATAGGAGACTGACTGAACTTTAAATGTGTGCTTTCTTTATCCCCTAGTCTTTAAAGAAGTATGACGCTTTCTGTATTGGGGAGGAAACAGAAAAGAATATGGTAGTTTGGTATATTTGAGAGGATGAGAAGGCTTGGTTAAAATAGAAAGCTGAGTTTCCACAGTGATTGGATCCAATCTGAATACAAATTTAATCAACCTTTGAATATATGTACTATCATCAGACCCTAAAATTGTAAATTCAGCAATGTAATATGGCTGCCTTTTTAAAAATAAAAATAAATTTTTATTATTTATATCTGAGGGTTTTTTCATATTATAGTAGTATAAATAATTTGCTTTCTGAAATTCCTCCAGAACTGCCAAGAATTGGCAAACTGTGTGGTGGAGAGATATGAATAAATAATTGCAACAAAAATATTTCAATAAACCCTAAGTAGACTTTAAGTTTGAAAATGTTGAATACTTAACTGATTTTAAGGAGGAAATATATTTATAAATTCATATCTCATAGGTGAGGGTACTGATGAGACTAAATTTCGTTGATGGAAATCTGAAGTGGGATGCAGACAAGTGCTTTAAATATATATTGCTAAAATTTTAACCTTGAGGTTTTTTTTTTTTTTCAATTATTTTGATAACATGTTTTCTCAGAATCAGGGCATCACAGAATTTTTTCTTCTTGTTTGCTTCTTTTCTTTGTAATGGGAACAGTCTGTGATCTTACATCCTCTGGGTGTGAAAACACATTTTCAGAAACTATCTAAAAAAGTACAGTGAAAAATAAATCTTCTAGATAAAGATAAAATGGAGATTGTTATTAAAATACAGACTCAAATGATTTTTTTAAAGTCTCTTATTACTTGATTAGTCAGCTGAGAATAATTGTGTCAAAAAATCTCTGAGATTATGTGTGTGTATTTCTACATTTTCTTCAAACAATAATACATTAAATTATAAACTTATAACAGTGAAAAAATAATATTTATTTCTATAATGCAAAAATATAAGACTGAATTTAAGGACTCTATGATTGCAGGAACCGTTTCTATATTGTTTGCAATTTTATCCCCAGTGCTGGCCTAGCAACACATGGCACTTAACTAAGTAAGCACTTAAAAATTTTTGGTGGATATTGCTGAATGTATCATCATTCTTGATTTTTTTCATTTGTTTATCATTCATTTGCATATTTCTTTTGAATAAGTGTAATAACTTAATGCGTGGCTTTGGTAATAAGTTTTCATCAACTGAAATTAGATGCAGTCAAGTCTACTCTACCAAGGTGAAATATGACTTTCTTTGTTTTCTCAGTCTTTGCTTCCCTAGATTAAATCACAAGATAGCTCACTGTTAAGTTTCAAATAAAATAAGGCAATTTAAATGCTCGTTTTGTGGCAGACAATTAAGAGTGAAGAGATGATATATAATAATATATTCCAATTCCTTTTAATGGGACCAGCTAATGTTGTGGATTATTTGAGTCCATGTTACCTATCTCTCAAACAGATAATC